ATGTTTATAGAGGGGCAACTGATATGTCAGATCATTATTTAGTTGTAGCTACAGTTAGAGTAAGAGGTAGATGGGAAAAGGGAAAAGAAAGGGGTGGCAACAACAAGTAAGAGGGAGGTGAAAGTGTATAAACTAAGGGAGGAGGAAGTTTGGGTGAGATATAAGCGACTATTGGCAGAAAGGTGGGCTAGTGCAAAGATGAGTAGTGGGGGGGTTGAAGAGGGTTTGGAATTTTTTTAAAAATGCAGTATTAGAATGTGGGGCAGAAGTTTTGTGGTTATAGGAGGGTGGGGGCGGAGGAAAAGAGGAGTGATTGGTGGAATGATGAAGTAAAGGGTGTGATAAAAGAGAAAAAGGTAGCTTACGAGAGGTTTTTACAAAGCAGAAGTGTTAAAGAAGAGCAGAGTATATGGAGAGTAAAAAAAAGGTGAAGAGAGTGGTGGGGAGAGTGCAAAAGGAGAGCAGATGAAAGAGTGGGAGAGGCACTGTCAAGAAATTTTAATGAAAATAAGAAAAAATTTTGGAGTGAGTTAAACAAGTTAAAAAGCCTGGGAAAGTATGGATTTGTCCATTAAAATAGAGTAGGGGAGTTAGTAGATGGGAGAGGGATGGTATTAGGTAGATGGCGAGAATATTTTGAGGAACTTTTAAATGTTGAGGAAGAAAGGGAGACGGTAATTTCATGCATGGCCAGGGAGGTATACCATCTTTTAGGAGTGAAGAAGAGCAGAATGTAAGTGTGGTGGAGGTACGTGAGGCATTACGTAGAATGAAAGGGGGTAAAGCAGCGGGAACTGATGGGATCATGACAGAAATGTTAAAAGCAGGGGGGGATATAGTGTTGGAGTGGTTGGTACTTTTGCTTAATAAATGTATGAAAGAGGGGAAGGTACCTAGGGATTGGCGGAGAGCATGTATAGTCCCTTTATATAAAGGGAAAGGGGACAAAAGAGATTGTAAAAATTATAGAGGAATAAGTTTACTGAGTATACCAGGAAAAGTATACGGTAGAGTTATAATTGAAAGAATTAGGTAAGACAGAATGTAGAATTGCGGATGAGCAAGGAGGCTTCAGAGTGGGTAGGGGATGTGTAGATCAAGTGTTTACATTGAAGCATATATGTGAACAGTATTTGGATAAAGGTAGGGAAGTTTTTATTGCATTTATGGATTTAGAAAAGGCATATGATAGAGTGGATAGAGGAGCAATGTGGCAGATGTTGCAAGTTTATGGAATAGGTGGTAAGTTACTAAACGCTGTAAAGAGCTTTTATGAGGATAGTGAGGCTCAGGTTAGGTTGTGTAGAAGAGAGGGAGAATACTTCCCGGTAAAAGTAGGTCTTAGACAGGGATGTGTAATGTCACCATGGTTGTTTAATATATTTATAGATGGTTGTAAAAGAAGTAAATGCTAGGGAGTTCGGGAGAGGGGTGGGATTAAATTATGGGGAATCAAATTCAAAATGGGAATTGACACAGTTACTTTTTGCAGATGATACTGTGCTTATGGGAGATTCTAAAGAAAAATTGCAAAGGTTAGTGGATGAGTTTGAGAATGTGTGTAAAGGTAGAAAGTTGAAAGTGAACATAGAAAAGAGTAAGGTGATGAGGGTATCAAATGATTTAGATAAAGAAAAATTGGATATCAAATTGGGGAGGAGGAGTATGGAAGAAGTGAATGTTTTCAGATACTTGGGAGTTGACGTGTCGGCGGATGGATTTATGAAGGATGAGGTTAATCATAAAATTGATGAGGGAAAAAAAGGTGAGTGGTGCGTTGAGGTATATGTGGAGTCAAAAAACGTTATTTATGGAGGCAAAGAAGGGAATGTATGAAAGTATAGTAGTACCAACACTCTTATATGGATGTGAAGCTTGGGTGGTAAATGCAGCAGCGAGGAGACGGTTGGAGGCAGTGGAGATGTCCTGTCTAAGGGCAATGTGTGGTGTAAATATTATGCAGAAAATTCGGAGTGTGGAAATTAGGAGAAGGTGTGGAGTTAATAAAAGCATTAGTCAGAGGGCAGAAGAGGGGTTGTTGAGGTGGTTTGGTCATTTAGAGAGAATGGATCAAAGTAGAATGACATGGAAAGCATATAAGTCTATAGGGGAAGGAAAGAGGGGTAGGGGTCGTCCTCGAAAGGGTTGAAAAGAGGGGGTAAAGGAGGTTTTGTGGGCGAGGGGCTTGGACTTCCAGCAAGCGTGCATGAGCGTGTTAGATAGGAGTGAATGGAGACGAATGATACTTGGAACCTGACGATCTGTTGGAGTGCGAGCAGGGTAATATTTAGTGAAGGGATTCAGGGAAACCGGTTATTTTCATATAGTCGGACTTGAGTCCTGGAAATGGGAAGTACAATGCCTGCACTTTAAAGGAGGGGTTTGGGATATTGGCAGTTTGGAGGGATATGTTGTGTATCTTTATATGTATATGCTTCTAAACTGTTGTATTCTGAGCACCTCTGCAAAAGCAGTGATAATGTGTGCGTGTGGTGAAAGTGTTGAATGATGATGAAAGTATTTTCTTTTTGGGGATTTTCTTTCTTTTTTGGGTCACCCTGCCTCGGTGGGAGACGACCGACTTGTTGAAAAAAAAAAAAAAAAAAAAAAAAAAAAAAAAAAAATTATATATATATATATTTATATATATATATATATATATATATATATATATATATATATACAGGAAGGCCCCACTTATACGGCGGGTTAGGTTCCAGGCTACCGCCGTAAAGCGGAAATCGCCGTTAAAGTGGAACACCCTTTTTTTCCACTATAAATGCATACAAACACTAGATAACAAGTTTACACTAACATATATTAAGTTAGCAATAGAACCAGGCATCAAAAAACAATAAAAAGGTACAATACACACATAGTGCACTCATTACTTACCTTAAAATATTTATAGTCTTAATCTAGGGTGAGACAAGTAGTATTTATTGTAAGAAATCAAGTGTGGTATGTATTGTAATAGCCAGGCTATTTCACCAGGCCACCCCACCCACACATACTATTCTATGATATTTTAAGCATCCCAGAGCGATAAAATGTATATACAGTTCACTCATTACTTACCTTAAAATATTTGTAGTCTTAATGTAGGGTCAGGATTAAGTAAATGAGATAAAACGAATAAATGAGAGAGAGAAAGAATGAGTACATGAGAGGTGACAGGCCAGGCACAGAGTAAACAAACCAGGCTCCCACATCTTATATTTTATGTTTATTTATTCTATTGTGGGGTGTATTTATCATCTTTTTATGTTATGTATCGTGTTTATTATATAATTTTGAAAAAAATATCATGGCTGGATTAATGAAAATGTGTATATTACCGTAATATACGACATTTAATGAGACTCCGTGACTATTGTTATTATCACCACTTGTGGAAGTCGTCTGCTACCACAGATCACATTTATGTTTATTTATTCTACTGTGGGGTGTATTTATCTTATTTATATGTTATGCATCGTGTTTATTATATAATTTTGAAAAAAATATCATGGATGGATTAATGAAAATGTGTATATTACCGTAATATACGACATTTAATGAGACTCAGTATTGTTATTATCACCACTTGTGCAAGTCGTCTGCTCACATCTCACATTTGTTTATTTATTCTACTGTGGGGTGTATTTATCTTATTTATATGTTATGCATCGTGTTTATTATATAATTTTGAAAAAAATATCATGGATGGATTAATGAAAATGTGTATATTACCGTAATATACGACATTTAATGAGACTCCGTGACTATTGTTATTATGGCGTCACTTGTGGAAGTCGTCTGCTACCACAGATCACATTTATGTTTATTTATTCTACTGTGGGGTGTATTTATCTTATTTATATGTTATGCATCGTGTTTATTATATAATTTTGAAAAAAATATCATGGATGGATTAATGAAAATGTGTATATTACCGTAATATACGACATTTAATGAGACTCAGTATTGTTATTATCACCACTTGTGCAAGTCGTCTGCTCACATCTCACATTTGTTTATTTATTCTACTGTGGGGTGTATTTATCTTTTTTATATGTTATGCATCGTGTTTATTATATAATTTTGAAAAAAATATATCATGGATGGATTAATGAAAATGTGTATATTAACGTAATATACGACATTTAAATGACTCGATGTATGTAAGTTTATTTAGGTACAGGTATACATAAGTATAATTATCAGAGTATATATAAAATATGAAATAACTTTTAAAAACATTTGAAATTTTGGAGTTTCCAGACAAAATGGAGAGACTTAGTGCTTACTGAGCTCATGGAGAATGTTAACAAACAGGGTGGGGCACGGTGACCGTATTAGAAAGTCAGGTGGGGGGAGCCATATAGCGAGTTTTGGTCATAATTTGAAATGTCCGTATTAGCGGAACGCCGTAAAGTGAAACGCCGTAAAGCGGGGCCTTCCTGTATATATATATATATATATATATATATATATATATATATATATAAAATAAAGGTAGTGCCAGGAGGGCTGTTGGGTGTCAGTTAACTCTTTCAGGGTCTGTCCTATAGATCTATGGCTTTGAAGCCAGAGTCCAGATTGTAGATCTACACAATGAGCTCAGCTTACTCAGATGAACTGTGAGTGGTAAATTTGGGCCTAGATATGAGAGAATACATCTATGTGGTAAGTGTGCACCACATTAAACAAATCCTGCAGCACACAGTGCATAATGAGATAAAAAGAAAAAGACCGTAATTTTGGCTTAAAACAGCGACTTTGCGGTGTTTTTCGTATGTCTTTTAGTTGTATTCATGATTTTTTTGTCTCATTTGACAGAAGACATATTACAAAAATAGAGATGATTCTGATTGGTTTTAGTACTGAAAATGGCTTGAAACTCAGCTAAAAGTAGAGGAAATGATCAGTTTTTGCCAATGTTCAGGAGCAAACAAATGATGTTGCACATCTAATATGCGTCAGCTGGTGGGTCTAATATACATTCACAAATGTGGCGATATTATTTATACATTTATTACAATATTGCATAACAGTAAATCTTCCATTTTTTGGTGTAAATAAAAATTCTTTATGCGAGTAAAAAATCAAAATGGAATTCATTTGTAAAGCCTGAAAACATAACTAATGAACAGAGGAAATGTTAGTTTTGTGCCAGGAATGTCTGCATTGTTTATTCTGAACCCTATTTTGAAATTGGAATATTTTGAGCTTTGTGTTAAATCAGCTAAATTATCAATTTCTGATCACTTTATTAGGTAGTTGAAACAATTGACTGGGTGATTTCTTAGTGCTCAATCGATAAAATAGAAGTAATACTAACAAAATACTAGCTAAGAATTTGGAATAATGTAATTGGCCTAAAATGAGAATCAAAGTCGGCAAAATCGCTGATGCGTAAATATCGCCGACACATCAAAATTTGCGAGAGCATAATTTCATCAATTTTCCACCAAATTTCGTACTTTTTGTTTTATTATCTTCAAAAAAAGTTCTCCACCATTTCATAAGAAAAAAATAAACTTATTTTGAAAATTCTTGGACCCTAGCTGTCACACTGAGATTTGGCCTCTGGACCCTGAAAGGGTTAATGATGTCCTTTACTGAACTCTCTTAATTACACACTTTGAAGGAAACACCCCAGTTTCTTGTGTATATGACACCAGTGGTGTAACCATATTCTCCTGTGTAATACAGCTAAACATAATGCTGCATGTACCGACACGAGTGAAGTAATGTGTGATATTCCAATGCAAAACAGCCACTAAGCACATCACTGCTAAGAAGTTGCTCTCTCTCTCATAATCATCTCAATTGGTGGTAGAAACAGGCCTGAAGAAGATTGAGACAAGTACACTGCAGCTTTTTCTGGGTTCATACACACAGTTTACTTGGAACTTTTCTACTGCATAAAGCAAGGGACACTCCAAATACTAAAATATTAAAAACATCAAAAGAAAAGGTTCTAATGACATAAATCAAAGATTCTCACAAGGTCATATAAATGCAGCATATAGTAATGAGAACTTGTATGCTATACTGGCAAACTTCAGATATATGAACAATAAAAAATTACAATATATATGTTGTAGTGTGGAGTCCTTACAAAAAAAATATAGACACATGATACGAAATGGCTTAAATACGAATTAAGAATTACAAAAAAAAAAGGCAGACTGTTAAGGAAAGATAGACAATACCTTAGCAGATAAGAGGAAGAAAAAAATTATGATACAAAATTGGTACAGAAAAATTTAGATATTAATGGGGAGAACAAAAGGCCACAACTATAGGAAAACAAAGAAAGTTGCCACAAGATTAAAATTTTCTTTATCACAGTGAACCAATTTTTTTTAAAACTAAACATATCTTTGCTCTTTGAAATATATACAGGTAATGACATGTAAACTATTCACATGAAGAACAGGAATAATTAGAATTCTTGCCACCACTATGTTCTCTATGCATAAAAATCAAGATCTATCGAATATCATTAAGTGGGTCTTAATTCATCATTACTTTGTGCTGCAATGAAATTGGTTATTTATCAATGAAAAGGAATAGCTAACCAGACACTAAAAATCCTCATCAAATTTCATATTTGGAAGTTCTTACAATTTCCAGGCCACAGGACTGGCTTTCAACATTCTTAATCTCTTTTCAGATTTCTGTGATAGGCAGGAATATTCTGCTGTCAATCCATTCGTCATGAATTTTGTAGATGTGAATCTACATTTTTCAAGCTTACATCTTTGCATTCTTTTCAAGATTCAAATGATGTGTGATGTTAGTGCAATCACTCTATGGTCATTTCTAATGCTTTACTGCCACATTTATGAAGCAAGTGCTATTTCAGCATTTTTTTAAAGTTTTGGGAGGATGTCTGTATCTAAACTGTCTTCATAGGACATTTAGAGCCTGTGATTATGTTTTTTTGCAATTCTTGACGAATCTTGAATTCCAGGAGTCTGGGCCTGAGGCAGAGTGATTGGGCATACTGTCAATGGCTTCTTCGAAGTACATTGGAGGTGAGGTGACATCTGAAATGTGGGCAAAGTTTGGTCTCACGCTCATGGATTCATTTTGAGTTTATTCGGCAACAACAAGGATTAAGTTCCCCATCATTTTTTTTTTTTTAAATAATTTGTGCTACTCTTATGGCCTCTGCTGACCTATTTTATCACTAACATTGTTGCCATTTGAGACTGGTATAATTTCTAGGCAGAAATAAGCGCACATTTGTCTACAATTAGTAGATAACGGATACAGACTGGACGACCCCTCACACTCCCAGCCCATCTCACCCACACTCATATTCACATAGCATAGTATTAACAAAGGAAAGAAAAACCTCAGTGATGCAGTGTTTTGAATGAAGCTTTACCACAAGCAAGCAGAACCAACAAAATGTTCTAAACATGTGACACTCATGACTTACTGCAGTGCAGCAAACTAGACACATGTCTATCCCTCACTGTTTTACTAAATATGAGTGCATGTGCTGATAAAAATTTCACATACATGTCAATTCCTTTGGGGGTATATTCAGCTGCTTGTCCTCTTTAGTGACACTTTATAACAAATGTCTCAACTGAAAATATGTACATTACCCAATAGAAAGGATTTATAATTTATATTGTAGCCCAATATACAACACAATGTACATAGGGGAAAAATTAGCTTTGTTTATACTTCATAATAATAACTATGATCTACACACACATAATCCCCTCTCCTGTATAAATTACTAAATGTAAAATGAAGATAAATTTTATAATATTCTTTTTTGGGTCACTTCAGTGAAAGACAGCTGGTATGTTGAAAAAAAAAAAAAATACAGCCTCTCCTCACTTAGCAACGTACTTGTTTCCCGACAGCTTGGACTTACGACCAGCTCTCCAACCAGTATGCAAATCTATGTATATTAGAGCTGATTTTCTCTATTCCGTTTATTACAATATACATGTACAGTACACTACTGCATAAGCATTTAAAAATATACTAAAATTGTTATAAATGGTGCAATGATGACATTAAAAAAATATCTAAAGATGGTTGACACAAACCTACCACTAGTACAGTATGCTCCTTACTTAACGACTAAATTGCTTACCGACCTACTCTTAGGAACGGAACTCGGTCGTTAAGCAAGTAGAGGCTGTATACAGATATGTTATAATACAGGTGCCCCTCCACATTCGCAAGCTTCGAACATTCGCGAATGCCCAGCCGCCTCTCAATAGTGCACGTGCGTGTCAAGGATTTGCACCCTCAGACAGTGAATGGTTGTTGGAGGTCTTTGTGGCCAGTGTGTGTGTGTGATTTTGTTGGATTTGGTCCTCAGGACGAGGTTAAGAAAGCCGTGAGGAAGACTGGAGTTAGCAAGGCTAGTTGGTGGTGAAGGGTTTGAGGACATGCAGGAGGGTGAGGTGAGAGAACTGGTTTAAGAACATGCACTGGGCCTAAATGATGAAGAGCTGTTGAAGATTGTGCAAGCAGAGAATGAGGATGAAGAGGAGTGTGTTGCTGAAGCCAATCAACCTCAAGCCCTGACCCTTGAAAAACTAGGGCAAGCGATGAGAATGACAGCACAACTCAAATTTTTTTTTACAACATAGACCCATTGATGTTAAGGGCTTTGAAGGTGATGAATGAAAACGATAGGAGCATGATTCCCTACAAAACTCTGTTTGTAGATATGAGAGGAAACGGTCTCAGTTGCCCATCACAATGTTCTTCACAAGGGCCTGCCACTACTCCCGTCGCTAAGTCCGACTCTAGCGATGTCGATGATCCACCGCCTATCATCGGCAGCGACGCTGGCAGTGAACAGTTAGAATCCACACACTAGACTCATCATGCCATGCAGTTACACTCCATATAATCACCTTCATTCAACTGTCATCAGTAACCGCATGGCTATCATCACCATCATCACTGTCATTGTCATCATCATCACAAGTCATCAGAGTTCGTCTGCCTAACCTTATGAGTGGTGTTTTGTTCGTTCATTATTTGTTATTAAACCATAACATGTATGTATATACATGTATGTATTTTACAATGTTTTCATGCGTTTTATGATTGATCGTGGTTCAATAGGGTAAGGAAGCAGTATTGTTAGGCTAAGTAAATGCTATTATTATATTTCCCTACAATATATTTGTGCACCAAACATTCGCGAATTTTCAACACTCGCGAGGTTCTTGATCCCCTAACCCTCGCAAATGTGAAGGGCCACCTGTACATAAATAACCTTCAAAGAAAGTGTGAAATGCATATGATATGCCATAGTTCTTTCTATGGAATATTTTTGTAATGTCTGTGTCACTGGTGGGATGTGAGGCAGCCATTTGCCCTTGCACTGAAAAGGTAATACACACAAGCACAAGCACCTGTGGGTACGCCACCTATATCAAACAAGTTAGCATATTCCTTGTTTAAAATTAATTACGGTTTGTCTTAAACTGTGGTTACGTACATAGCTGATACATATTTGCTAGTTTCACATGTAAGGGGTGTGTAAAAAAAGCTGAAAGTGAACATAGATAAGACTATGGTGATGAGGGTATCCAATGAGTAAGGTAAGAGAAAATTAGATATCAGACTGAAGGGAGGGACTATGGAAGAAGTGAATGTGTTTTGATATTTAAGAGTGGACACATCGGCATCTACGTTTATGAAGGATGAAGTTAACCATAGAACTGATGAAGAAAAAAAGGTGGATGGTGCACTGAGGTAGAGGTGTGAAGCATGGGTTGTGAATTTTGCAATGAGGAAGAGGCTGGAGGCAGTGCAGATATCGTGTCTAAGGGCAATGTGTGGCATAAATATTATGCAGAGAATTCATAGTATGGAAATTAGGAGTAGGGGTAGAGTTGCTAAAAGCACTATTCAGAAGGCGAGGAGGGGTTGTTGAGGTGGCTTGGTCATTTAGAGGATGGAGCAAAATATGATGAATTGGAGGACATATTCCTCGACGTGGGAAGTACAGTGCCTGCACTCTAAAGAAGGGGTTTAGGATATTTGCTGTCTAGAGTGATATCTAAACTGTAGAACATGTGCACCTCCGGCAAGAAATAATGTGAATGAGGGCGAGTATTTCTTTTTCAAGTCACCCTCCTTGGTGGGAGAGGGTCGATATGTTGAAAAAATAAATCAATTTATGTCAATTTAGGTGTTGGTCCCACTATATACGACTTTGAAGCCAGTGTTGGTCCCATAGTACAATGCCATGAGCTCAGCTCACTCAGATAAGCTGTGAGTGGTAAATCTGTGCCTAGATATGAGAGAATGGGTCTATGCAGTAAGTATGCACCATAAAAAAAAAATCCTGCAGCACACAGTGGATAATGAGAAAATAACTGCAACCAATGGAACAATGGAACTGGCCAAAAACAGGGGGCAAAGTGGGTGAAATCGCCGATGCGTAAATATCGCCAAGACTGCTAACTTTGCGAGAGCGTAATTCCTTAAGTTCTCCCTCAAATTTCGTACTTCTGGTTTCATTACCTTTGGAAAAAGATTCTGTCATTTCACAAGATAAAATAAGTTTTTTCCTTTTAATTCTTTGACCCTGAGAGCAAGTTTGACATCAGGTCGTCTTGACCCTGAAAGGGTTAACCCTTTCACTGTCTCTTACATAATTCTACATTACTGAGGCCAATGATGCTTACAGAGGTCTACGTTTATCACAGCACCCTTAAATATGCTGCGAACAGAAAATTTTGGCTTAAATACAAAACAATGAGGTTGTATGGTGGATGTGCAGTTTAAAACAAATTCTGCTCCACAGTGCATGATGGAAACAACTAACCTTTGAGCTTGTGTCTGGGTTAAAATAACTAGGGCATATTCTAGGATGATTTTCATGGTTTTGCTGGATGTTTCTTGGTTTCAATTGATACAAGGGAAGTCATACAAGTGAAATAGATATGATTTTGGTCAGTTTCAGATCAAAAGTGGCTTGAAGCAGGCATCAAATTGGCAGAAATCAGATTTTTACTGATTTTCCTGAGGAATGGTAGAGGTCCCGCTACCACCCGTTTACTAGTAGGGAAGCTGGTGGTAGAATAACTGACTTCGTTAGTTACTTATGCTAGGTAGGCATACTAGTATGTCTGAATCTTAGACTGAACTGATTGTGTGCTACCCAAGCCTGATTTCTTGAATCACTCATAGCTTTGTTGACAAAATTTTTCAAATACTGTACTTGAGGTAATATTACAGACCAATTTCTTTCAGTAAGATGTAATTTTGTCACATTTTCAACGAAGTTAACTTGGCAACAAGATTCCACACATTTCCATCAAATAATGAAAGGAGTGTGATATATAACATATACATTGTAAGTTTTTTTCACAGCTGTGATCTAACATTGTTATTCCAACAGGTTGGAACATTTTGAATGAGCCTGTGCTCTGGTAGTTCATTTTTTCCTTGAAGAGCATCTAGTATATTGCAGGCTAGAAGAGTGTGACTAAATCGTGTCACTATTTGCCTACAGTTAACAGTGATGTATTTTATTACTCTGCTCCAAAAGACAATCAGTGATCAATTGAAGTGTTTCTATAAAGCGTAGCAAACTGTTGTAACCTGCCTCTTGAATTTCTTTGACAGCATTGGCACCATTATTCCATGCTATCAAATGAATTTTGAAAATGGGTATACTGATTCATACAATGCTTCTTGAATAATCAATGTGATACATCCTGCTGTGAGGGATCCAGGAAATGGCAGCACCAAGTTTTCTGAGCAAAGTCTTTGGTGAGGCAATGTCATCATGAGTGCATGCACGTAACCCCCTCACAATCATCAGGTTGTGTTAATTTCACTATTCTTTAGCACCTGTATATGTTAAAAGTATCAGTACCTTTTTCTCTGATACCAATATTCTGTCCCATCTCTAAGCTGAAAAATGTGGGATTATTAGACCAAGTTAAATGTAGTGAGGTTGTTGCACACTCACCAAGTGTCAAAAAGGTAAAAATATAAACCTGTTACCTTATCGAATTGTACTTTTCATACAGGAATTCACCAC